ACCCAGGCTGGAGTGCAGTGGCACAATCTTGGCTCATTGCAACCTCCGTCTCCTAGGTTCAAGCAATTCTCCTGCCTCAGCCTCCCGAGTAGCTGGGATTATAGGCGTGCACCACCACCCCCAGATAATTTTTGTTTTGTTAGTAGAGACAGGGTTTTGCCATGTTGGTCAGACTGGTCTTGAACTCCTGACCTCGGTGATCCACCCACCTTAGCCTCCCAAAGTGCTGGGATTACAGGCATGAGCCACTGCACCCAGCTTTATTTCTCATTTTTAAGTTATATCTATTTTTTTTTCAAATGTGATTACTCTCATATAGTTTTGAAGTACCTTATGCTTATTAATTTTATATTTCTAAGTAATTCGTTCCTTTTAATTGCCAAGTAGTTTTAAATCTTTAGGGGAAAGTTATTTTTCCCTTTCACTTAGCAGTAAGATTTGACACAAGCAATTTTACCTTGCTTACATCTGGAGAGGGGGATGGATGATTTCTACTTTACTCTTACACAGAAGTTGTAGTCCTTTTGATATCCCACCTTCAAAGGAAGACTGTAATTAGACTTCCCATCTTGGACAGGCCTTCAATTTTGTGTTTTGTCCTTTAGGCCCTTGAGGCTCTAGAAACCAAAACTTGAGTTTGCCTGGTTCAGCCAATGCCTGTAAAGGAAATGACAACTACTGGGCTCTCAGTTCTGCTTACTTGTCTGGAAATTGATCTTCCTTTAGTCCTTGACTTGAGTAGTCCTAACTTTCTTGCCAGTTACAGAAAAATTCAAAATCAGTTTCTTTTATCATATAGGAAGTGAGTGAATACTTGTTGCTAAAAATAAAAGTTCTAGAAAGAGACAACTTTAAATTTAAAAAGTAGTTTCTCTTGAGTGTTTTACTCTAGATTAAAGCCATATTTTAATATAAAAAGAAATAATAATGATTCTCCCTTAGAATCATTATTATTCATTTGCAAATTAAATGTTTTGCTGAAAGGTTTTGTAAGATAAAGCAATTTATAGGAGATCTGGACTAATACATATGTGTAAGATTTTGATGTTGGTGGAGAATACAAAAACCCAACAGCAGGAAGTCAGCTGAAAGAAGCTACCAGGTTAGTGGTGTTCTTGGCATCGTGGGTGGGTGGTGAGTTTTCAGGCTGTGCATGTTACAGCCTAGGCTGAGGATCCCATCAAGGATTTTGATGGCCCTCCATGGTCATAAATTCCTGTTATGAGCACTTCCTGCTGTTATTAGAAGCATATAGTAATTCAGACTACTTGCTGGCTCTTGGTTCTATGTCTGGAAAAGATGTCTGGGAGAACGCTGAGAATAAAAAATGTATACTCTGTCTTGGTGACCTAAAACATTTCAGATCCCTTTGCTCTCTAAGCTGCGATTGGGCAGTGGATATCAGAGCAGAACCAGTTGGTTTCCTCTCAAGGTGAAATATATATATTTCTTATAAAAACAGGTGAATTTAAACTTTTCTGAGAAACTTTGAAAATTGTATGCCTTGGCTTAGTTAAGATATACCCTTGGTGATTACACAAATCAATTAGGGATCACAGGTTAGAGTTGGGTACGTTTTCAAATCATTGTTTCTCTAGTTTTACGAAGGAAAACACCTGTATTTGGGGCTTACGATTCCTACACGGTTCTGGGTCTGAGGATACAACAATGACAAAGAAAGACAAAAACCCTGGGCTATGGAAATCCACTGAAGCAGGTGGATACTAAAAACAGAATCAAGAAACATGTTTGGATGAAAACGTCATAGGGGATTTAGAGTGGCTTTGAACTTTTTTCGTATACGTTTGGGATAGTAAATGCCTAAGCATTCCTTTGAAAGAGTTTACAGAAAAGTATACTTCCCTTACAACTAAAGTGTGTCAAGGGAATCGAGCTCTGTGACCAGGACCTGGGAGTGAAGCTGGCATCTATGGAAGGCACACATGACACTGCTCATGTGCTGAGTCACTTGTGGGGTTGACCTTGGTTCAAAGCCTGTTTTTCATTGCAACCATTCTTTGATAAAGGCAGCCCTCATGTCTGTTGCTAAATCAGGCACGAGTGAACCTGTCGAACTTCCTAACTAGAAGGAATTTTCAGTGCTGATTGTAAGGCAGTTCTAAACTGTTCCTGCAGAATCAGAATTTTTTTTAGGATAGGCAGAGAAATGACTTTGGAAATCCTGTTCTATCCAGCCAGTTCTGCAGATATTTGGTTAACCAATGGAGTGATGAATGAAATACCGTAGCTTCCCCTAGTAAATTCATTGGTCTAATAGCTCTCTTTGGTAACTGCTTCTGTTTGACAGTTATCCTCTTTAGACATTTGCACATATTTTATAAAACATATACTATAATTCAGGCTCTGTTAGTCCTGAGGCTCTTTGCTGCCCAAGACAGGAACTTGCCATTCAGGATCTTAGAAGAACCTGGAAGTGGAGACAAACACCACTAACCACAAGAGGAAGTGGCAAGGCCCTGTTTCTCAGCCCAGGAACAAAGTGCTGTGGGAGTGCAGAGAAGTGATTCATGTTGGGTGGAAGGGTGTGTAGAAGGGAGGACATGAGTGTGCCTTGGAGAATGAGTAAGTGCTCTCCAGTGAAGTCAGGAAACGTGCAGGTGATTCCTTGTTTTGTACATGTACTGTCCTCCCCAGGCCCCATACCTTGGAGAAAAAAAAAGAAAACACATACGAGAGGGTTGTTTATAATCCTAGACGTTTTTGACTCCGAAATGCCCCCTGTTCTTATTTTGGAGCCATTTATCACTTTCCCAGCATCACCACCGTAGCCCAAGCCATCATCATCTCTTACCTGGGCTACAGTAACTCTTCTAATGGATCACCCTGCCTCTTCTCTTGTTTCCCAAATAGTTTATTTGGTAAACAGAAGCTAGTGTGATAATTTCAACCCATACATTGAATCATTTATTTGCGGTGCCCTTTTCATTGTATCAGGAGGTATGTACTTTTGATTTGCCCCATGACTGAAGCACAGTACTCTGGGTGCTTGATTAAGGTGGTGATATGGTTTGGAGCTGTGTTCCCCTACCCCAAATCTCATATTCAACTGTAATCCTCAGTGTTGGAGGTGAGGCCTGGTGGGAGGTGATTGGATCATGGGGGTGGATTGCTCATGAATGGTTTAGTGCCATCCTCTCGCTGCTGTTCTCATGATGGTGAGTGAGTTCTCACAAGATCTGGTTGTTTAAAATTGTGTGGGACCTCCCCCCTCCCTCTTTTCCTCTTGCCCCAGCCACATGATATCTGTGCTTCCCTTTTACCTTCCACCATGATGGCAAATTTCCTGAGGTTTCCCTAGAAGCAGAAGCTGCTATGCTTCCTGTACAGCTGCAAACCCACAAGCCAATTAAACCTCTTTTCTTTATAAATTACCCAGTCTCAGGCATTTCTTTGTAGCTGTGCAAGAGTGGACTAATACAGGTGGTGTATTAGCCCTAGTTTCTTAGGGCTGCCATAACAAAACCACAGGCCGAGTGGTTTAAACAACAGAAATTAATTTTCTCCCAGTTCTGGAGTCCAAGATCAAGGTGTAGGCAGGTTTTGGTTTCTCTATCCTTGGCTTGCAGATGGCTATCTTCTCGCTGTGTCCTCATACGGTTGTCCCCCAGTCTGTGTGTTTTCTGTGTCATAATCTCCTTTTCTTACAAGGACACCAATCGTATTGGATTAGGGTCCACGCATATTACCTCATTCTACCTTAATTGCCATCTTAAAGGATCTGTCTCCAAGCAGTGGCAGTTAGAGGTACTGGGAGTTGGGACCTCAGCATACAAATTTTGGGGAGTACACAATCCAGCACATAATAGGTGGTGTCTGCTGGGCTTTTCCATGGTAAACTTACTCTTTTCTCCTTCATTAGTTAATGAGTCATTTGGAGAGAGATACTTTGAAACTACACAAGTATCTGATATGGTTTGGCTGTGTCCACGTCCAAATCTAATCTTGAATTGTAGCTCCCATAATTTCCACGTGTTGTGGGAGAGATCTGGTGGGAGATAATTTAATCATGGAGGTGGTTGCCCCGATACTGGTCTCGTGGTAGTGAGTCTTATAATATGCGATGGTTTTATAAAGGGTTTCCCCTCTCACTTTGCTCTCATTGTCTCTTGCCTGTCACCATGTAAGATGTGACTGCTCCTCCTTGCCTTCTGCCATGATTGTGAGGCCTCGCCAGCCACGTGGAACTGTGAGTCAATCAAACCCCTTTCCTTTATAAATCACCCAGTCTCGGATATGTCTTTATCAGCAGCATGAGAATGGACTAATACAATATCCCGTTCCTCATCAAGCTTTCAATTTGTTCATTTGCTTATTTAGAATACTATGAACTCACAGTTTCCTATTCATTCGATGAATTAAAATCCGTTATTATTCATTTTGATGTTAAATTTGTCCCAGATTTGGCCAAGGAGCCTACTACAAGCCTGCTTTTATGTCCTTTTGACACATCCCCATCATTTCAGGCCCTTCCTTTCAGGCACAATATGTTCCAGGCTTATCTTGAACTTTCCCTGTCCCAGCCCCGAAATTAATCATCTCCTCAGAAACCCCTGATTTCTTTTAGTGGAGAATTTGGAAGCCAAGATTTGGGTGCTAGATGTGTGCATTGCTTTGGGGTATTGTCACTTCCAGACCCTATTGGTGGATAGAGCTAGAAAAAATATATATGTGTATACACAGACACACACACACACTCACTTATATCTGTGTTTTTGTCTATGACCTATCATCTATATGTCATCTGTGTCAACCCACCTATCATGATTATCTCTAATCTATCATCTATATCTATTTATAATCTGCATCTCTCTATAACTCTATCACTCTACGTATTTGATATCTATCACTCTATTATCTGTCATTCTCTACCATCTCTCTCTCTCTCTCTCTTCTATCATCTATATCTATTTATAATCTGCATCTCTCTATAACTCTATCACTCTACGTATTTGATATCTATCACTCTATTATCTGTCATTCTCTACCATCTCTCTCTCTCTCTCTCTCTCAAAAACCATAAGTTCTCTCTAACAGCTCCATTTCCAATACAATATTATAGGTTCATTTTAATTTTCTCCCTCTTATTTGTGAGTCCCCTCTCAAACAGTGAGGAGCCTGGTTCTCTATCTTTGATGTATTTACTTATTTGTAACCAGTCTCAATGGCTTTGCACTCTCCCCATATAGATGCCCTCCTCACCTCACTTAGTGTCTACTTTATGCAGGACCACTCCCTTCCATGACGGCCTTTCTTACCCTGCACAGGAGGGGCCACTCCTTCATGTGAATTCTCCTATTACCACTCTAGGCTTGAGTCCCCACATCAGGATGTCCCCTCCCAATGAAGACATCCTCCTCAGGCTCTGTCACCTCACCTGTTTAGGTTCCAGTGCCCTGCACTGGGCAGCCTTCCTCTGAGGATGTTCTCCCCATGCCCAGGCTCCACAGTGCACAGACCTGCTCTGGGTCATCAGTGCTTCCCATCACCAATGTGGAGGCCCACTTTGCTCTGCCCACCTATGGCTTTAGGACTGAAATATTCAAGGAAGGGAAACCTCCCAAGTAGCTGAGATTACAAGCATGTGATACCACATCCAGCTAATTTTGTATTTTTAGTAGAGACAGCGTTTCACCATTTTGGCCAGGCTGGTCTTGAACTAACCTCAGGTGATCTGCCTGCCTCAGCCTCCCAAAGTGCTGGGATTACAGGCATGAGCCACCATGCCTAGTCAAGATCTGATGGTTTTATAAGGGGCTTTGCGCTGCACTTCTCCTTGTTGCCACCCTGTGAAGCTGCCACCATGCTTTCCCTTCCACCATGATTGTAAGTTTCCTGAAGCTTCCCCAGCCCTGCAGAACTGTAAATCAATTAAACCTCTTTCCTTTATAAATTATCCAGTTTTGGATATTTCTTCATAGCAGTGTGACAGCAGAACTAATACACTGAGTGAATTTCAATTTGGCTTTAATAAAGAATGTTAGTATATTTAGGGCGATGTTTTCAAGTTTAATTTTGAAATTGGAGGTCTGATATTACCATTAAACAAAGTTGTCCTACCTTATTTCATTAATGTAAGGGCTAAGTGTTACCTTTTATCTTCCTTTTGTTGCTATGTTATATTATTGGGCAAGCATCTTCTCCTTCCACAGAGGTTGGCACATGCCCCTAGGCTAGCTGCTTAGAGAACTTCTTCTGGCTCAAGGGGTGACACATGGACTAAGACTATCAAACAGAGTCCTTTTGAAAGAGCATTAAGGACACAGAGAGATAGGTTCTTAGATTGCCACTGGTAAGAACTATGCAGATCCAGAGATCATGGGAGTCATCTTTGCTGCCACAAGGAAAGTACCTTCTGAGAATGAATCCAGCACAGAAGAAGTGGAGAAAAAGAAGAGAGACCCATCCTGAGGCTATAGCTTGATACCCTTCATTCATCAATGTTTAAGACAGAAATGCTTTGACTTTCCAGATTTAATAGTTAATACAATCTTCAATGTTTTCCCCACACTTCAGCTAAAGCGAATTGGGTTTGCAATTAGAGTTAATTGAATTTACAGCTATAGTGAGTTGCAAATAAAATAGTTCTAAAACGATGGTTTTATAAACATATATGTATAATATATATGTGAATATATCTGTACATATCTCTGTGTGTATGTCTGCACATGTGTGCACACACACATTTTCTTTTTTTAACTATAGGAGCTTTTCTCCAATGAAATCTTACATAATACTTTGATTGAATCAGTGATCAGGTTCCAAAGGCTCAGAGTCCCATTCCCTTGGTCTCCTTCTGCTTTTTTTTTTTGAGACAGGGTCTTGCTCTGTTGCCCAGGCTGGAGTGCAGTGCTGTGATATCGACTCATTGCAGCCCCTCATGTTCAAGTGATTTTCCTGCCTCACTCTCCCAAGTAGCTGGGATTACAGGCACCCTCCACCATACCTGGCTAATTCTGTATTTTTTTTTTTTTGAAATGGAGTCTTGCTCTGTCGACCAGGCTGGAGTGCAGTGGCGCATTCTCGACTCACTGCAAACTTCGACTCCCTGGTTCAAGTGATTCTCCTGCCTCAGCCTCCCAAGTAGCTGGGATTACAGGTACACACCACCACACCCAGCTAATTTTTGTATTTTTAGTAGAGATGGGGTTTCACCATGTTGGCCAGGATGGTCTCAATCTCCTGACTTCGTGATCCGCCCACCTTGGCCTCCCAAAGTGCTGGGATTACAGGCATGAGCCACTGCACCCAGCCTAATTTTGTATTTTTAGTAGAGATGGGATTTCACCATGTTGGCCAGGCTGGTCTCAAAGGCCTGACCTCATCCTTCTGCCTCTATTGATACTCTCTAATGCACCTTGTTAAACCCTGAGGCCCTGCGAAGCAAACACTAAAACAGCCTTAGAGCAAGAAATATGTTATTTTAAGAGATTCTTCCCCTCTCTATTGTAGGACCTAATTTTAATGATTTAAATATAAAATATCCACAATAGACTCTGTTGAATGTTTATTGAATCTAAATGTCTATTAAGCTAAATTAAATATTAATTAAACCGGACACTAGCTGAGATAGGCAATGGTGCACAGAAGCCTTTGGAAGTTTCCCACCTGCTACTACACTCATGTCTGTTGGGTGTTTCCCAGACAACAGAGGCCTCAGAAGAGCATGAGTTCTTCAAGGAGCTGTACAGCACACATTCTTTGGTCAGTGCCAGGAAAGCCAGCCAGGGAGAGTATTGCAAACTGATAAAAACTGGAGGAAGGCTTTCCAGAAGTCCTCCTCCTTTCCAATTTATGAGTGAGATAGAAAAAAACAGAGCATTTGAGGCTTTGAATATCTCTCACTGCTAATTTACATCTGATTCTACTCCCATCACCCAAAAGAAACCTCCATATTCAACGCTAAACACACGCATTTTTTCAACGTTGCAGTGGTTAATTTTGGCATGGAACACACCACTCTGAAACCTGAACATAAAAGGGAAAGTTAACTCTAACAGAATTATGAAGGGATTTGTAAATACCGGTAGTTAGAGGTTCTGCAATGCTGCAGTTCCTCTTTTAGGGGGAGGTGAGCAGGCGAAAATTCTAGCAGTGCATTTCTTTTGTGAATATACACTGCTGTTAGGAGGCAATACTGCTTTGCAGAAAGCTACTCCTAGAATTCAGGAGCTTGTGTAAACCACGTCAGCCTTCAATAAAACAATGTAGGAAGTAATGCATTTCCTCGTTTTCTCTGGGAAAGAGAATCAGTCTGTGTTAGAAAAACATTTTGGTTGTTTCTTTAACCTTGTTTTCTCTGAATCCTCTTTCCTTTTGTTTATAGTGTGGCTTGAGCGCGTGTCTGGCTCTGGTTGCATATGCTCAGTTCATCTGGGTTTGCTATTTTAGATACTGTGTGGAGGTAGTTTTGGATCAAAGCCATGGGTTTGGACAGCACAAGTCACTCAACTAACAAAGGCATAATCATCACTGAGGTGACGTCCAAATTAGACTTTTTTTTTTTTTTTTTAGTGTAGCCTTCCTTTCCAAGTAGATCTGTGAATTGTTATCAGATTTGCTCTGAAGCAAGAAGCATTTCTTTTCTAGTACTGATATTATTTCCTTCTAAAGTGGTCTCATCATGTAATTGGTTACATCATGAAGGGAAAATTCACTTTTCTAAACATAAGCCTAAGTCTTAGGCCAGAAGTTCAATTTCTAACAAAGTAAACAATGTCCTCTTAGAAGGTTTTCTTTGTAATGGGAAATTGCAAAGCATTGCTACATGGTTGCACATTTAAATTTCTTTCTTTCTCTACACTTTCTGATAAATTCCAATTCCGAGGATCTTTTTCTGCTTTTGTCACATTATATTTATGGATGGAATTAGGAGAGTGGAACTGCTGGCAGCCGTTCAAAACATTTCACAGATAAATCTGTTCTGTAGCCTATCTTTCTTAATGAAAGCTTGAGGGATATTCATTCATTCAATTAATCAATGCTCACTGAAGTACAGAGCCTTTCCCTACAACCTGCTGTCTGGGCAGGAATGAATGTTGTTTTTCTATGTTGCGTGCCTCTCCTGTCTGTCTGATGGCCTGTCTTGGGCAACCTCAGATTGTCTGCTGGTGTGGCCTTGGGGCAGGATCTGTTATCTGCAGACTTTTCTCTGGTCTTGGGCTAGATGTCGCTAGCCTTTTGAGGTAGGAGGCCAGGCCAGGGCCATAACTGTGGAGTCAGGCTGGCTCCTGAGGCTGGCTACAGGTGTTCCTCAGGAGCGGTGGTGGGTGGGTGGGACGCAGCCTCAGCTTGGTGCAGACACGTGTCTCAGATTGGCAGATGGCTGGTAAAAGTGGTTGGCATTTCGAGAATACTGAGTTTAAATAAGGAAATGTTTTGTTACTTTTTGCTTATCCCCCATGATTGGGCTTTCTATGACATTAAAGCTAGTAGATTCATGTAATTTCCTGGAAGAGAAAGGACCTTCACCTATCTGCTGCTTTAACAGGCGGATCTGTTTAGGCCACTCAGCTGGGCATGCCGTGAAGTGCCAGGTATGCTTCTATTCCCCTTTTTAGTTGCAAAATTAGGTGTAATTGCCATGGTTGACTCTGTGTACCAGGAACTCTCATCTTGCAAGGTAGGAATCATTATTCTCATTTTCAAGTGAGGAAAATTGAGGTCCACAGAGCCTGAGCATCTTCCCAGCCAAGGCTCGCCTAAGTTGTAAGAGATGGAGCCACACGTGGTGTACACTTAAGTTATATCTCTTAGAAATATTTCACTGCTCTGGCCTTCACATTTGCTGCCACGCCCCATCATGTGCCTTCCTTAACTCTCACAGTCAGCCACAGAGTTCTCCTTGCTCCTCCTATTCCTCCCTAGGTTTTCCTGTCTCATTTTCTCTCCACCAGCTTGGCTTTTTTGTCCTCTCTCCTGCTCTGTATACATAATTGGATTTTTTTCTTTAAAATCTCTCTCGAATTTTATTCTTCCCCGCCATCCTGATTCAGGTAGCATTCAGATCTTTTCATCTCTTGCTAGATCATAACAGTCTTAGAACTAATTATCTCTAAGCCTGAAGCCACAGTTATATTCAGCTTCCTAACACACCCCTTTCATCATGTCACTATTCCTTATTAGATACTAAGTGAAATGTAATCCCTTAGCCTGCAATTGTAGGTACTCTACAAATCTAGTTCGAAATTGTTGAAATTTCTATTTATCCCCTTTCCTCTAGGTAGATGTGTATACTTGATGTTTCTAAAACATCTTATGAGGTCTGGCATGGTGGCTCACACCTGTAATCTTAGCACTTTGGGAGGCCAAGGGGGGTGAATCACTTGAGGTCAGGAGTTTGAGACCAGCCTGGGCTGTAGGATCCAGCCCACCAGGGTTCTGTGAGCCCCTCCCGGCTGGTGTGAAGATGAGAAATTGTAGAAATGAAAGGCCAGGACACAGAGATAGAGAAAAGAGAGTTTGGGCCCAGGGGTCCACTGCTACCCAAATGGCGGAGACCAGCAGTGGCCCCAAAAGCCTGGATGCTCTCACTTTTATTGAGTTGCAAATCTGGGGACAGGGAAGGTAGGGTGTAGGTAGGGTTTGGCCTTGGTGGTCGGTGACTAGGGGCAGGATAAAATAGGGCCTGGCATACAGGTGGGGGCTTAGGAATTTCTGGCACCCGAAGTGAGGTAAGGAGCATAATGCATCAGCACTTTTTCCATACTTATCAAGAAAGAACTAAAACATTAAGATTTATATTACTATTACTGATTATCTTTTCTAAGAAAAAAGGAACCATGTGCAGAAGCAGGACATGAGAATAGACATGGAATGTGACCGCTGAAGCACAGCATCACACAGAGACAGTTAAGCCCCCGATGTCTGCGGGTCTGCCTGACAGCTGTCAGGCCTTACCACAAGAGCTTGGAGAAGTGGAGCTTTCTCCTAACTCCTCCGGGGAAGGAGACATCTCAGTCATCTTGGATGTCTCCTTCTCTACCTGGCTAAACAGCGGGTGCTTTCATGGCGTGGGCGCTGCCACACAGCCGAGGCACCCTCCAGTAGCCCTTATGTGGGCGTGACAGAGGGCCTAGGGTATCTCGCCTTAGTGTCATTCATTTCACAATGTCACCCCAGGTTCACACTTCCGACCTGAGAGGCATTACTAAAAGAATTAAGATTTCCGGAGAGAGATCCAAGATGGCTGATCACTAGCAGCTCGGGATTGCAGCTCCCACTGAAAGAGCAGAGAACGAGAGGA